AATAATGAGATAACCGATGCCGGTGTTGCCAGTCTATGTCAAGCATTACAGACATCATCATGTAAAGTCACCGAACTTCATCTGGATAATAATCGGATCACAGATGCCGGTGTTGCCAGTCTATGTCAAGCATTTCAGACACCAGCATGTAAAGTCACCGAACTTTATCTGAGTAATAATCAGGTAACCGATGCCGTTGTTGCCAGTCTATGTCAAGCATTACAGTCACCCACATGTAACGTCACCAAACTTTATCTGTGTGGTAATCTGTTAACTGATGCCGGTGAGAACCATCTAAGGTATATTTTGGAAAAAAAACTGTCATAGTTACCTCTTGTATTATAAAGAAGACATTGAGTTATAGTTCTAGCTTTAGACGAAATTTTAAAGACACAGGGTAAAAAAAGACAATGCCAAGAGTGAGTTTTGAGTAAACGCTTAAACGTTGTAAACGCACGATCTTTTTGCTGTTCTTTAAATGCATTTATCTCTTAATTTTGCTTAAATTATAGATTCGCATGGATAATCACAAGATTTCAAGTACAATTTGGGATGAATGAGTACGAGTGAATTATTCGATCGCTAACCAAATAGCACGAGCCCGCTGGCACGGTTGGAATTTGTCGTTTTTGAAAAATATACGAGTGCTCATTTATCCCAAATTGTACGAGAAAAAACATGTGATTATCTGTTGATGATGTTCATGCCAAAATTAGACTATGTTTTCCTCTTAGTCGTGTTTATTTCGTGTCATGTCTTACCGGCTCGGCCGCTTACCTTTGTGCCAGAGTAGTCAGGGTTTCCCAGATAGAACTTGCTTTGAGCTTTTACACGTCCTGTCACGAAAAAACCGCGCGTTCGCTTCCTTTGTCAGTTAGTTATAGCCTTGATAGCAGTAACCAGTACACCAGGGGCATCACGCTTGCAATCTTCCCTGCCTCTCTTACAAACTGTTGCGTAAACTTTTCTCGAATATTTTTCAGGGCTTCCGCTTTGAGCTCTTCAATGCTTTCGTTTCAGCCGTTATTGGAAGCCCAAGACTTCCACACGTTTAGCTCGTAGTTTGTGCTTTGTTGGGTGTTTTCATTCTTACCACTCTCCTTCAAACGCTGAATTTAAAAAAAAAACGTCTCAACTTTTTCCAGACCTGTCCGCCATTTTGTTTTGTGGTACTTTCGCGAATTACCTGTCAATCAATTTGATGTCAACTTTCTGCACTATCTGGGAATAATTGACGTGTTCTCGACCAATGAGCATGCTGGGATATTTTTGCATATTTATATTACTTCAGTTTCTGACTTTTTAACATAAGATATTTTGTCTCAGTTAAACATTTGAAAAGATTGTTGAACTGAAATGTATTTCTAATTTTTTTCATGATATGATAATGTTAGAATGAACTTGACGCTTAGCTAGAGATATTTTGTAAACTACGTTTTTCATAACTAATGACTTGCTATTTCGTGTTGAGTAAATAAATCCCTGTTTTCAGGGTGCATTTAAAATTTTCAGCATGGTAAAATATTTTAAATTCTCGGCAGCAGGTATCAGTGATAATGGTGAGATGGACGTTTTCCCATCTGACAGCTTTGAATTTATCCCTATCAGGATTTAGCTTTTTGAACTATTAAAAAGGCAACGATTGTGTTTGTTGTTTCTACACGTAGTTGTATTAAAAAATTGTGAAGTGGTTGCATGACGAGCTTTGAACCACTTGATCCTTTTATGCAAATGAGCTAATGCGAGCTTCAATCTCGCACA